GTATCTATCCATGATACCGTATCTAAATTGTATCATACTACGGTACGGTGGTGCCGTAGTAAGTTATGTTATGATATGATATGATGCCGCACAGCAAGCAAGCAAGCAGGCATTCACACGAAAGCCTTGGTGGTGGCAATGATATTAAATTATGCGTTCCAGGGGGGGGGGGGGCTTGGAACCTTCCGCCCCGCCCCGCCCCGCCCTGCTCGCCTGCTTGCCCGCATTACGGTATGCACGGTACAGTACAGTACTGTATCATACGGCATCGTACCGGTAACTCTGTTATGGTATTCACCGCGGGGCTGAGCGTGGCTGGACAATTCAGGCCTGTGGCGAACGACCGAACAAGCAAACCAACGTACGAGTACAGTACATTACCGAGATTATCCCAATTGACGAGTCCTTTTCTTTTTTTTCTTACTAGAGTGTTGTCCGATTGGTTTATTTGTTCGGTGCTGAGTGCTGCTGCACTGTACTCTTACAGTACCGTATCTCGATGAGCGGGAGGAGGAGGAGGAGGAGGAGGAGGAGGAGGAGGGGAGGGGGGGGGGGCCATTTTTAGTTACTGTATTTAGTATCATATCGTGATGAGTGCTTCACGATGGCTTTTTATTTTTATTATTATTTTATTATTTTATTTTACCCACTTCACATTTTCACCCTTCTTGCCTAACCTGGCTTCAGGTTGTGTAGACTAATCAATGTATGGGTACGATGGAAATGGCGTAAAATAACTTGCAGGACCCTGTAGATCCTCGGTACTGTGCTGTGCTGTGCTGTACTCGAGTATCATACACGGGGATATAATTGAGATGGTATTTATCGTTACTGTACCACCGCCGCTCGGTGCGGTTGGCGACATCGTGCTTACCGCACCGTACCATACTTTTTTACCTTAATCCTACCGGCCCGCCGGGCGACGATGCGATCCCATATCTATCCGTTTTGTGGCGCTTTTTTTTCCCTTTCCTTCCTTCTTCCTACCCCTCTTCCCTCCCCCCCCCTTTTCTTCTTCTTCTTTCTTTTCCTCCATACTTCTTTTCTACGGGATGGTATCGTGCACGATTAGCGAGTAGCTTGGCCTTTTTTTTTTTTTTTTTTTCCTCTTCTCTTCTCTTTCTTTCCTTCTTTCTCTTCCAGCGTCGGGCCACTTTCTATTTTTATTTTTCAGCTTGGCTTTGCCCTTACCCCTTGGGTGCGGTGCGGTGCGGTGCTGGAGGTGGGTAAGCACTGCAACGGAAGGTTTTTTTTTTGAGGCGTGCTGTTGCAGTTGTGTTTGTCAGCTTCGACAGACAGGGTGATTGCTATTGGAGACCCTTGGAACGGTGATTCTTTGAGGTTCACCATGGAGGATAGGAAGGTTTTGACGATTGCTAGCCATGTATGTGTGGGCTTCTTTATTTACTTCTTTCCCTTTTCTCTTGGTTCTTTGCTTCCGGGAGCTGATGGGGGTTTTTGCTCTGCTTTGTCCTGTCTTGTTTAGGTTGTTTCAGGGTGAGCTGACTCGGCATCATCATCATCGCCATCACCGTTGTTATGGGTACCGGTACTGGTGGTAAACTGACGGTGGCATACTCAGATACGTCGGTAATTCGGTCACCACCTTTGTTCTCCAGTTGATGGGTCTGGATGTTGCTTCCCTCAACACGGTGCAATTCTCTAACCATGCTGGGTATCGCCGGCTGAAGGGGTTTCGGACCACCGCCGGGCAGATCTCCGACTTGTATGATGGCCTCAAGGGCTGCGGGTTGGATGACTTTGGCATGCTTCTCACCGGGTACATACCTAGTGAGGAGTGTGTCGAAGCGGTGGGGAGGATTGCGGGGGATATGAAGGGGAAGGAAGGGGGTTGCTTTTGGCGTATGTATCCTCCGTTGTGTATGGGAGGGATGGAGGGGGAGGAGGAGGAGGAGGAGGAGGAGGGGCTGATGGAATGGAATAGTACTTGACCCCGTCATGGGGGATCAGGATAGGCTTTATGTTAGCGAGGGGGTACTGCCGGTCTACAAATCACTGGTAAGAATGGCAGACTTGATTGTTCCGAATCAATTCGAGGCCGAGTAAGGCACTCCTTTTCTTCCCTCGGTCCATGGGGTGCTGACGTCTGGCAGACTGCTATCCGGCGTAAAAGTCGATTCGCTCCCCTCCCTCTCCCGCGCCATCTCTGAGCTTCACAGAATCTACAACGTACCGCATGTAGTCATCACCTCCGTAACCTTCACCAACGGCGACAAGAAGATGCTCTGCGCCGGCTCCTCCGCAACTTCATCGGGCGTCCCACGGAAGTTTGTGTTCAACGTCGAGATCATCGACGGCTTCTTCTCCGGCACCGGGGACATGTTTGCTGCACTTACGCTGGCTAGGTTCCGCGAGGAAGCGGAGAAGGACGGGTTAGAGGTTGCACAGAGTTGGGGGTGCGATGACGCGGTTGGACCTTTGGAATTGCCTTTGTGCAGGGCTATCGGGAGGGTGTTGGGAAGTATGCATTTGGTGCTTGTCCAGACCCAGCTGGCCCGTGATAAGGTTCTGGGAACGAAGAAGAGGGAGGAGGAGGTTGAGGTTGGGAGCGAGGAATATATTAGGCTTACGAAGGCCTCCGAGTTACGACTAGTGCAGTGCCAAAGTGAGCTGAAGGATCCGGAGATTGGGTATGAGGCTGTTGTCCTGAAGTGATTTTTGTGCAATTTTTTTTTGATTCCTTGTCTTCTCGATGCGTTCGTTAGATATTATTTTTTACGACGGTTCTGGCATTATATCGACTGATAGATGGTTGCCTATCTGGTTCTTGTACAGTAGTTTGCTGTGAATGGTAGACGATATATTCTATGATGCTCGGATTCACTGCGATTCTCCGGTCGACTTTACGCGTTGTGCACAGGAAGAAGTGGTTTTTGAGGGGTATGGCCATAATTGCTTTTACGTGATGTTGGGGTTTTCGTGGTTACCTGACCTTGCCTTACCTTACCGGTGGTCTAGCCAAAACTGTTGCGCTTGTGATCTGAGCAACAAGATTGCGGGTTGATGCGACGCGCCAACCACCCTCCAAATAAATTCTGCGGTCGCGTCTCCCAGTTTCCTCTTCACAACCACCACTGCCAGGTACCAAAATTAAACATCCAACCGCAACAATCACGACCACAACCATTCTTTAAAAACGATTAAAGAAGTATTTTTTTTTTGAAATTATCATGACTCAGGAAGAACCTGTCTCCGCTCCTATGGCCGCCTCCGTCGTCACGAAGGCTCCTCCTATCATTGACGGTCCCCTCCCTGACACCATCACTACTACCACTACTGCCACCGCTGCCACCACCGCTGCATCCCCACGCGTCCTGAAACGCCCATCGACCGAAGACCTTCCCCAGACCCCGAAGAAGCAGAAGACTGCTAATCCTGCCACTGTTTCCACTCCTGCCGTGGCGGCCAAGATCCCTATTCCCTCGTCCCCGCGGGAGAAGCCGAGCGCAAATCTTCGTATCAGGAAGACTTCTTCCAAAGCCAGGATTCCGACGAGGGGATCTGCACTTGCGGCCGGGTATGATTTGTATAGGTATGTTTTTACATTCCTTGCGGTGCGCGTGGAATGAAGGCTGATGAGTTGAATAGCGCGCATGAAACCACAATTCTTGGCCGTGGAAAGGCTCTCGTTGATACTGATCTTGAGATGATGATTCCTATTGGGACTTGTATGTTCTCTTTTCTCCCTCGTGGAGGTTATGTGGCCACTAATTGCTTGTTCGGTAGATGGGAGGATCGCACCCAGAAGTGGTCTTGCTTCCAAGAACTTTATCGATGTTGGTGCCGGAGTGATTGATGCTGATGTATATCTCCCCCCTCCTTCATGTTCCACCTTTCGAGCAGCAAACTAATGACAAGGATAGTACCGCGGTCATGTCAGGGTCCTCCTATTCAACCACTCGGACGTAGACTTCGTTGTCAAGGAGGGTGACCGCATTGCGCAGTTGATTCTCGAGAGGGTATTTTTTTTCTTTTTCCTCACCACACTAATCTCGTGGTGGACCCGGGGCTAATTCATGTCTAGATTGTCACCCCGGAAGTCGTCGAGGTTGATGAGCTCGAGGAAACTGTTAGAGGTGCCAACGGGTTTGGAAGTACTGGTGTTTGCCTCGCTTAGATTCTATATCCTTTTTTCTCATTTCCCTCTAACTTTATCCTTATACCTCGTTTGTTCATACCACCGATCCCTTCATTAGTCATTTCCTTGCGTTGTTGCATTACATGCCCTCTTTGTGAGGTGGGGCTGGCTATGTTGGGCTGGGAAACACCAACTTTTTTAGAAATTTTTCCTTTTTCTTTTGTGCCTTCAGGATGGTGGGAGGGGGGGAAAGGGGGTTTGTAAATGGTTGTGAATACTGTATTTTACTGTATTATTAGCTTAGTTTTATACTGGTGGGCGATTAGAGAGGTGTTGAATGGAACGGGATGGAATTGGATCAACTCAACTATATATCACGAGTTTCTCGGTTGGTTTCTCTCGGCTTCCATCCACTCCCGAAGACGCGTTGTTGACTCTGAGGGTGGGTGTGCGGTTTTGAATTACCATTTTCGGCAAGAGGGGTTACGATCGCAAGATTGTGGTAATGATCATGCAACCTTCATTATGCACGCTTTGTGAGTGATTGGTCGGGCGCGTGGATGTTTGGATGAGTCACCAGAGGGGGCGTTTCATTCGTTGATCTTTTTACCAATACAGTACGCCGTGATGTATGCTTTTTTTTTTTGCCTAGTAGTTGTGGGGGGGGTTTCTTTTTTTATTGCTCGCGAGGGTTGTTTGTATGATGGTACTGTATCATTTTCAGAATACATGATAGGTATGTCCCGAATGCCAGGTCACAAAGTATCACTCTAGTCTACTCAGCCTGCTTTTAGTTTCTCCCCTTTCCTTTTCCTTTTTTTCCTAACTATCGTTAGCGATCGTAATGAGCCGGCGGGAGGAGGGGGAGTCTTTTTTCTTCTTCTCCTTTATGTGACATCTCGCAGAATGGCTCGGAGCCGGCTTGCGCTTAACTTTATGGCGACTTTCTTCTCCTTCTTCCTCCTTTTCCTGATGGTGCCGTCTTATAATACCTGGACTGGGGAAAAATCAAAAATCAAAAATCGATAGAATTCTATTTTATATATATTATTTATCTATTGACATTTTGGAAAACTCGAGCCCCCCCGAATATCATTTGTTGGGATGCGGGCGGGTGAAGTGTCATAAGTTAGAAAACACCGAACTTCGACCTTGATCCTCGGTTTTTGATTTTTTTTTTATGTTGTATACCGGATTTTGTGGACTTAGGCGGGGGCCGTTATCTCGGATGGACGGACGCACAGACAGACAGACAGGAAGAGCATTTGCGCACTCTGACGCGGCCCAGTTATTCTACTGCGATAATCGGCACGGTATGACAGCTAGACTACCTCTACCTCTACCTCTACCTCTATAGCTATAGCCATCATCAGAATATCACTATATAACAAATACCTTATGTATCAGTGTAGCTTTTGAGTAAGTTGGTTGGGGGTACGTATGAACCTAAGCCATATCTATTGGTCGCGGTCGATAGAGGAAGCGGGGGGAATGGTGCTTAATTGACATCCCAACTATGATATTGTAATAATAATAACTACGGTCGTTCTGCTGCATATCATATAGTAAATACCATATTCCGAGTTTCTGTATCGTGTCGTGCTTGTGTGCACGGTTGGAGGAGGGTACAGTAGAGTCCTACCTATCTATCTACCTACTATTGCCTTCCGTGCCCCTCACTCGCAAGCGGGGGGTGAGTTGGTGGTGATGAGTGAGTGGCAGGTTCAAGTGCTCGCCCTTCGTGTTTTCATGTTTTTTTTTTTACTTCTAGTAGGTATCGTGCGTTGTTGGAGTTATGCGTTGGTGGTTGATAGGGTCCAGGTATCACACTTGAGTAGACTTGCTCTTGCTGACGCACCCCGCAGCCATATCTTTGACTCCCCCGTCGTGCGGAGCTGGGTAGATAATGATACTACCGACCCCATCACAACATCTCACTCACTCATCCACCCACCCACCAGCCACCCCACCGAATCCCTCAAGGGAACTACCGCACCCCAACGAAAAAAGGAAAAAAAAAAAGAGAAAGCTTTCATGATGCCCCCCCCCCCTCTATATCATTGTTTCTTCCCTAGCCGACCAATCTATCATAGCTTACATTCCCTCCTCCCTCAAACGTCCTTTTATTAGCCCATTTTGAGTGGAGCGACACAGCCAACTGAACCCCACCTCGAATCAACAGGTGGAAAGGGAAGGGAGGAAAAAGGAAAAAAAGGAAAGAAGGAAAAAAGTCCCTTTATTCTAATCAACCGTACGCGCAAAACAAGGGTAATACAAGCTTAAACAAGAATTAAAGGTGAATGAGATACCCCAATGATCCGGGCTGTTATACAGTTCGTCCCCCCCCCCTCCCCTCTCGATTACCCGCTGCGTATACCCAACATCACGCATCCATTTTCCCTCCCGGCAAAGCAAAGGCAAGATAAAAAGAAATCTAAAACTCGAACCCCGAGACCTGACTGAAAAAGAGAAAAAAGGAAAAAGGGATGATCTCTAGATAGATAAATGGTTACGAAAGAGAAAAAGTACATACCCAGCAATCGCAAAGTCAAGTAAAGTAAGGCAGAAGGGTAAGGGTGGGTGTGGGTGTGGGGGATAAAGCAAAGGAGTCTAGGTCGTGGTGGTTCTTGCCCTTCTAATGCTTATGCTCCGGTGAGGAGGCGGAGTTAATGGGGCCCGGGGTGAATGGTGGGATGGGCCAAAGTGATGCGGAGCGAGGTGGGCATAAAATGAAAAACACAAATAAATTTGAAACAAGATCGCGGCCCAATAAAAAAAAGCGAGAAAAACGCCAAGAGGGGGAAAGAAGGGAGACGGAAGAGCTTCTCTAGGCTATGCCAGGCTACTCCTCGCCGCTCTTTTCCTTGCCATCAGCCTTTCCACTACCCCCCCCAACTCCCTTCCCCCTTTCCTCCTCGGCCTTGAGCAACATCCCAGCAACAATCTCCTGGGCCTTTCCTTCAATCGCATTGTCGTCCTCGGATATGGATTGGTCGAGGGCGAGTTTTGTATTTGCCAGGGCAAGGATTTGCTCTTCGATGGTGCCTTTGGTGACCAGTCTATACATACACCATTAGTGACCAGGTGGTTAGTAAAAGAAGGGGAGAGCGCAAGTACCTAATAACCTCAACCTCCCTAGTCTGGCCCACACGATGCGCCCGGTCCGAAGCCTGCGCGTCATCATGCGGGTTGAAACTGCTATCGAATATGACAACCTTATTCGCGCAGGCAAGGTTGATACCGAATCCACCGGCTTTAGTGCTGAGCAAAAAAGTCATGATATCCTCCTCTTCATGGTATTGATCAATCATGTCCTGTCTCATGTCAACCGGCGTCGATCCATCAATTCTGAGGAACCCGAATCCAAGGGTTGTCATCACGAGTTCCAATAAATCGAGGACTTGAGTGAACTGGCTGAAGATCAAGACCCGGTCCCCCTTCTCGCGCATCTCCATAAGTAGCTTAATCAACGCCTCAACCTTGCCAGACGCCATCCATTCCTTTCGCTTAAAGGCGTATTTCCCCATCGTCTTTGGGTTCTTTATGCAGAGTTTGTTGAGCTCCAGGTCGTTCATGACTTCCATGTCTTCCAGAACGAGTTGTTGGTTGCAGTCCGAGTAGATGTCCTCTCCGAGAATTGCGTGGCTCATCTGGAGAATCTTTGCATCTGTGTAATGCTTTCGAAACAACAGCGGGTGGATGGCAGCCTGACGGAGCTGCATCATCACGTTGGCGTTGGATTTGGAGGCCTTTTGACCGGCGGCTCGTGCTGCGATTGCTTCGGCTGCTAGGTCGAGGTGGTCTTTGTAAATAGCCTCTTGGGCTTTGTTCATGTCACAGTATTCGACACGGCTCGTCTTCCCCGGCAAGTGTTTGAGAACCTGTATACATTATTAGCATGATTGGTAAACAAAGATTGAAATGGCGCGTCAAGAATAAACAAACCTGTTGTTTCTTCCTTCGTAGGACAAATGGTGTCATCATCGCACGGGCACGCCTGATCCTCTGTATGGACAATAGGGCGCTATTCGACTCCTCGTTGTCGGTGGTTTTGGCCTTGTACTTGAATATGCTTGCCAGATCCTCACGCTTCTCATTGAAAACCTCCGGGAGGATGAAAGCTAGAAGGGAGGCAAGTTCTTGAAGGTTGTTCTGAAGCGGTGTTCCGGTTAACAATAGCCGGAAAACAGCGGGTAGTCTCATGAGTGCATCATAACGATTGGACGAACTATTTTTAAGGAGATGCCCCTCATCGTAGACGCAAACCTTGAAATGTTAGCATACAGTATTTTCCTCGGAGGGGGGGGGGGTGGGGGTTACATTAAAGGACAGATCCTTAAGGAACCTCTTGTCTATCCTATCGCCAGTAGCTAGCTGGTATGTGGTAACCAAGACATTCCAATCTTTCCGCTTGCATAGAGAAATACGCATCTCAGCTCGTTCTTTAAGAGATCCGTAGTAGGGTTCTACAACTAATGCTGGGCAAAATCTCTTGAACTCGCGAAGCCAATTCTCTGTGTGAACAATGTTAGTCGCTGCCACTCCTTGTCTCGGGTTGGAAGGGTCCGAAAACAGGTATGAAAGAAAGATATAGTGAAAAATATGTGCGTATCTAAGCGCCAGTACAAATACATCCGCCTGTTTTCGGGTACTTCTGGCTCGGGGCAAGTATTGATAATGCTTGAACGAAGGGCCGGACTTACCCAAAGTGGAAGAAGGAACAACAACTAAATGGGGACCTTTGATTCCGCCCTCCAGCAATCTCGCGAGAAATGCGATAACCTGGCAGGTCTTTCCAAGGCCTAACGGGTGTCAGTAAGTTATACTTGTAACGTTCATGGGGGAAAACACACCCATCTCGTCAGCTAGAATACAGCTGAGTTTCTTCTCGTACAAGAGACTCAACCAATTAACACCAACAACCTGGTAATCCTTAAGGATGACGCCTTCTGCCATGTTCTTGGGCTGCTGCTTGAAGAAGTTGCCAATCTGGTTCTCTCTCCTGGTGCCTTTTACTTCATCACCATCGTCCAAAGAATCAGTGGGTGTGCCAATGGCAGAATCCTTCAACGACGGAGCGCCAGAGTCAGGTATGACATCTAGGATCTCAAGCTCGCCGCCGGCCCCGGCAGCACCGAATATATCGACACCCCATTTCCTAATGCTCTCTGCCACAGGTTTCCCAAGCTCTTCAACTTTTGCGATGAGAGAGTCCACAGCGTCATACCCCCTCCAAGTTTCCAAGCAAATGTCGACAATCTTATCCCCAATAGCGCGAGTGCGTGCTCCTCTGGACTTTTTGCCTTTCACTGGGGCGGCATCACTTGTGACAGCGCGGACTTCACCGAGAGAGCGGAAAGGTCGTTGAGAGATGACAATCTTGACAGTTTCCGCAGCGGTACATGATATATCGGAGAGCTCTTTCAAGGTACATGTATTAATGTATTTTAAAACCTTGTCCTCGAGAGCTCGTTCCTCGTCCGAATTGCCGTCGGATTGTGCAGCCGAGTCGGTGTCATCGTCGAAGTGGGCAGGTGCGGGCGGGGAAGAGGATACTTCTCTCGAAGAACCCTTGACCAGCCGCCTTCTCGGTTTAGGCGCGGGCTCTGGCGAGGCGGCCACCTCGGTCTGCGCCTGTGTGGACGACCATTTGTCTCTAATGGTCCCTCTCGGAGCAGTGGCGGCACGGTTCGATGTCTTCATTTGAGGGGCCTTGCCGCCGGATCTCTCATCGCCGGATCCGGTAAGATCGATGGTGTCCTCATCGTCCTCCAAGAGCGCAGCCATCGCGTCATCATAATTTCCCTTCTTCTCCATAAGAGCGGCTAAAAGCACTCTAACGGGCTTCAATGGAAGCACGATTAACATGCGCCTAACGTGATTTTGGTACACCTTGTTCTCGATCTCAGAGACCTTGAAGTCATTCAGTGAATAACCATTCGTTTGGTTGCGAGGGCGCGAGCCTGCAATGGTAGCGGTTCCGGAGGAGTATGTGGTCGTTGGCCTCCTAACAGAGTCAAGTCGGCCCTGAAAAGGTATGCGTGCGGTTTGAGGCTTAGCCGAAGGGTTGAAAGCGAACTTTCGGGCAAGGTTACGTATTGTAACGGGAGACTCCTCAACTCTAGTAGGCTCGTCAGATGGTTTGGCGTCATCTCGGCGGCCACGCATGGCGCTGACAGAGGGTACAGCTTTGCCGGCCAGTGCACTCCCCACAAATGTTGGCTTTATGTCATGGTCTGATCCCTCATCCGAGGATCCGCCAACATAGTGTAATCCATCGTCAGTCAGATCAACATTCTCTGCTCCATTGGGCCTCGAGGGGTAAAAGTCGAAAGGCCTAACCGAGCCATCCTGTTGAAGAGCGACAGAGGTGGGCTTCACCTTGGTGAACGGCTTCGCCCCGGCCGGCGAAGCAAGCTCCTCTCGAATGGGCGACGATGCCGCGACCTGAATAAGGGGAGGAGCGGCCCTGGGAGTCCTGTTGGGGTCCAGCAGCTGCGTAGGCTGCGTGATTGGCGAAGAGGTGACCAAGAGCGCAGATGGTGGAGGGGTAGCTGCCGTCGCACCGTCTTTCCGCTTATCAAAATAGGAAGAATTCAACGGGAGTGTAGCAACTTCGCTGGAGGCGGTTTCATCCTCACCCTGGTCGGTAGCTAAGGTCTCGGTGTCAAGCCCATCTATCTTACGACGTTTTGGGCTGAAGTCACTCCCAGGGCCGAAGGGGAATAGTCTCCCACGTTTTGTGGGGGTAGCTGTGATTGCGGGCAAAGTAGCCTCTTCGGGAATAGGCAACTCGTTAGGAGCGGTGATTGTAGCATCGTTCGGGGTGGAATCCATCCTCCTCGTCCCTCTCCTCGATGTTAGCGGCGGAAATGCAGTTTAGGGCGGCTCCATATTCTCAGACAACGCAAGGGGGGAGACCAAACGCACCGGTATCAAAGGGAAGGGATGGGTTAAAGTTGAATATAGTGTTTGCCCAAAGTACTGATGCCGTTGATGGGGAGGATGAGAAAGGTTTTTTTTTTTTTTTTGTTTCCTACCTTCTCACACCCAGTCAGCGAGGTGGGTAGTGGGTGGATTGATGGATGGACGAGATGGGTCTGTAATTAAGAGTTATTGATAGAGGCAAACAAAAGAGCGATCTCGTACTTGGGTATCACGACCTCGAAGCTTCAATATCCCATGAAATATCTCGAGGTCTCTCTGAGAAAGTTTGGGTTGTGAGGAAGTCGCGCCCGGATCTCGACGACAACACCAGCAGGCATCAGGAGGCAGAGGACAAGGACCAGCAGCGTCAGGACGCACCGGACGCAACAATGGAGCCTCCGGACGCGACCCCCGCCAAGACAATGGGAAAATCCTTGTTGCAATTTACTCCTAATTCGGTCTAGTCAATGGTGTCAATCCTCGCGAGAGTTCAATAGCTCCTCATCATAACCCAAGTTACCCTACTCGAGTACAGTACATACCGGTGCTGTGCAAATATCGGCAATAAACATCTTCTCATTGTCGCGCTCCTTGTCAATTCAGCCATACACATCCCCATCCCGAAAACAATGGCCACCAGACGAACCCTAAAGGGAGAGAAGGTGACGGAGAAGGAGGACATCGCCGCCATTGTTCCTGATACCAACCCCAATGGTGCCAATCCCAAGAATGACAGCGGAGGTCCCGCAGTTCCTGGGTGAGTTATCCGTCTCGTGAGCGAGGGGTGAACATGGCTGACGGAGCGCAGATCTGTCATTGCGAAGCTACTACTATTCACACTAGCAATGGTCGTAGCTCCCTTGGGTTCCTATTTCTTGACGGTGAACGCCGTGTTCAGTGGTACGCTTCCCGTGCGAACCCTACCAAACCCTACCAAACCCCATTAACACAGCGCAGGAAACACCACGTTTGCTGGGGCTACGGCGGCGGTTGTTGCTAACGTTGTCCTGATCACATACGTACTGGTAGCTATGGCAGAGGATACTAGGGAGCAGGAGGAGGCGAAGAAATCGCAATAGGCCACCGCTAGAGAGAGAGGGAGAGGTTGATGGATAGTCTACCGCTTAATTTAATATAATACAAGCTGCAAGGCAAGACTATGCAAGACTACGCGAACCTGATCATCAGGCCGAGGAGTTGGAAGCCCGTTTTGAGACGAAGGGATCCAGCGTATCAAGACTCATCAAAGAACTCCGCTGAGCAGCAATCTGTGGGTTGCGTTTTCTGCGTTAGCCTGCTTCTCTCTTGTGCCCGCATCGTTCCTGTCGACCATCGTCAATACCGGTAACATTATGGTATACCAAGCACTGAAAGGTATGAGTACGGTAGCATGACCGCACATATTATACGAGTACCTCACACCCCTCCTTCCTTCACACGAGACACTGCGGCCAACCATGTGGGAAGGCTGGTGGGCCTGCCGGTATATACGGTACTCGGGTGCGGGTAACTTACAGTATGATTACTTGGGTGATAATGGTAACGTCGTGCTCAAATGTTTCCCTGGAAGCGCCCAACGTGATGAAACATACTGCTATCGGCATCATACCGCTAATCCAGTAACTTTGGCTCCAAAGAGCCCCTCTTCCTTCGTCCCTGAATCCCGATAACCGATAAATTGACCAAATGCTTGATGCAACCCCCATTCGAACAACCCATTACCCCCATACCCGTGCGCTACCCATATACTGGCCGAGCATTCTGCTGTATGATTACTGGTGCGACTCGGTAAATAAATACATCACCTTCCATACGAGTGAATCGCACAATTCACTTCTAATCGCCCCCACCCCCGCCTCCCCCGCCATCCCGCCTGTAATCCCATCCCTCAGTTATCTAACCCGGCCAATGCGATGATTCGCCACCACCCACTCCTACTGAGCGAGCGACCCACTCAAAATGAGCGACCTTCAACGCTCCTTCCAGAAATCCAAGCTTGCAAGGTTTCCGCTTGAACCACCGATGCCTTTGAATTCACACCTGGGTGCGCTCGAAGAAGTTGACGATGAAGAGGAGCGGGATTACCGGGCAGGAGAAGAGAACGACATGGATTCGAGAATGGATACTCCTTCATCTCCGTGCTCATCAGCTTCTTCAACATCTACCATCAGGCCATTGTTCGCAAGGCCGGAGTATGCTCTCCCTCCTGGCTCAATCTCATCCCACAGATTTTGGTCACCAAGAAGGCTAATGGGTGAGCGGAACAATCCAGGCCCAGAAAGAAAGCCTCACTAGAACCTCTCCCTTGGAACCAATACTTTTCCTCCTCCCTATACCTCTTGCATGAGCCCACCTCTGCCGTCTTTCACGCCTACCTAACCAGCCCCATCAACAATGGTCCTCTCTTCGTAATGCATCACGGCGCCGGCTCGTCTGGTCTCTCATTTGCCCTGTTAGCCTCTGAGATTCGCAAAGCCCTGCCGGCAGCTGGTGTCCTATCCATTGACTCCCGCGGGCACGGCGAGACCAAGACTCCCAACGACGGGGACCTCAGCTTACCCATCCTTTCACAAGACTTTGTCACGGCCGTGGAGCTAGTGAAGGAGAAATGCGGATGGGGGAAGATGCCGGATTTAGTCCTCGTGGGACACTCCCTCGGCGGAGCCGTGGTAGCTGATGTAGCGATGGGCGGAAAGCTGGGTGGGAATGTGCTCGGGTATGTGGTTTTGGATGTTGTGGAGGGAAGTGCTATCGACGCTTTGCAGAGTATGCAAACATACCTCTCTACAAGACCTTCGGGGTTTACCTCACTAGCACAAGGGATCGAATGGCAGTTCGTCCCACCCCCCCTCCCCTCTCTCTTCCTCCTACATACCTCATCCAAAAGTTGACCCACCATCCCAGCACTCGCTCAAGAACAATCCGAAACCCAACCTCGGCCCGCATCTCCGTCCCCGCCCTCCTCCTCCTCACCGACACAGCACAGCCCGAATCATCAGAAGATTCCTCCCCCCCACGTCCCTGGCGCTGGCGCACCGACCTGGCAAAGACGCAGCCATTCTGGCAAGGCTGGTTCGTGGGACTCAGCAAGAAGTTTCTGGAAGCCCGGGGGGGCAAGTTACTCATTCTGGCGGGGACGGATAGGCTGGATCGGGAATTGATCATTGGTCAGATGCAAGGGAAGTACCAGCTCGTTGTGCTGCCAGAGGTGGGCCACTTTTTGCACGAGGATGCGCCGGGGAAGACGGCGGGGACTGTGAGTTTTTTTCTTTCCCCCTTCACTTTCCCTTCTCCTTCCCTCCGTGGAGGAGGGGGGTGGGGATAGCAAGGAGAAAGGGCTAATGAATGAGGTATGGTATTGCTGGGAACAGTTGGTAGAGTTCTACAAACGGAATGACCGATCAGGGTTGGTGCTGCCGCCGAAGGTTTCGGATATGTATAAGTAGCCGCCGGATCATTAACCTCTACCGCGGCCATAATTCCATACTATCGAGCGAAACCACCAATATGCACTCGATCTCTCAAGGGATGGCCGGCACGAGGAAAAAGGCTACACCCCCTACCCTATCACCGAGAGTAAGAAGAAGAGTTAAAAAAAATTAAATTTCCTTTTTAAAAAACAGGAAAACCGAGAGAGCTGCTACCGATACCGATATTCTTCTTCCACTATTACTTGTATTCACCTAGATTATCGAATTGAAACAGCATGTACCGTACTAGTACTTTAAACTTGAAAAAAAAAAACTCGTATTACCACCCCCAAACGAAAACTCGACCTTGCTTATCACTCGATTTCCTCGCGCGTGCCCAGGCGGCCAACTCCGTGCTCGGCAACGCCATGCCATACCGGTATCGTACAATACCCCGATTGCCAGAGCGACCTCGCCGGCAGCCGCCGAGATAAGGCGCGGGAGTCCCCAAAAGCGTCGCGTAAGTTGACAGGGTTGGCGAGTTATCGGTCGAGCTGGCTGACGCACCGCGCTGTGCGATAACATACCGTATCGGAGAATATATATGAATTTCGGGGCATAATCGTGACGGGCGCTCGGTGCTGTGAATGGATACGGGTACTCGAGAGAATAAAAGAAAAGCAGGAAAGAAAAAGAAAAAAAAAAAGACATCAATAATCCACCCTCACTCCCTCCAATACCGGTAAGGTACCGTAGAGAAGAAAGAAAGGAAGAAAGAAAAAAGAGAAAGGAAAAACCCCCCCTTCTTGCAAAAACGACGACCCACTCCCCCCATCATCACCCATTAAACCACCTCCTCCCCGTATCATATCATAATACCACCATCCACTAACTTAACCCAACACTCAGCTACTTTCTCCCCCAAAACTTCATGATCCTCTCCATCAACCCTTTACTCCCCCCTGCCGCTCCCCCCTTCTTCCCCGTCCCCTCCGGCAACCGCACGTTCCCCTCCCCTCCCCGCCCACTGTGAAAGGGCTCACCATCGTGCCCCCCCACCTTTGCCACGTTAGGCACTACTTCCTCATCCATGCTTGCCCTCACCGGGTGCTGATGCGGGCTGCCTATATTGCCGGCGCCGCCGCGCTGTTGGAAGTTAGCAAGGGAGGAAGCGGGAGGAGGAGGAGGAGGAGGAAGAGAGGGGGGTGGGGGCATCTACACCCGAGCTATAGGCGCCGCCGGTAGCGGTGGGGTCGCCTTCACGGCGGATTTCGCCATCAACGTAGGTTGTGTCGTCGGGGCCAATGTTGCCCGTGCCTGTAATTTGGTTTAACAGCGCTGTGGAAGAGGAAGAGGAAGGGGGATGGGGAGAGGAGAGGAGGGGAAGTACCGCCGCGGCCGTGGGAGACGCCTTCTGTGGTCATGTTTATGTTGCTGGTGGTAGATGTACTGTACTGTAGCGTTTACTATGATGCTGTAGGGCTTCGAAGACCAAAAAAAAAGAAGCAGTAGTAAAAAGTAGAGTAAAGCGAAGCGCTGCTCAGGGGGAAGGAACCCTCGCATTTTTAACCTTTGCTTCTCACCTCCCCCCCACATGATGTGGTATCACGTCATGTCACGCATCTAGGCATCTAGGAACATTACCATAAACGATGCAGTACTAGAACATCCCTATCTAAAACCTTACCATGCGATAAGCCCCCCCCCCCCCACCTCCACTCCCTATTTACACAAACGACTAGGGATATGTTATGAAAGAAAGTGAAAAAAAAAAAAAGGAATTTCAATGACAGATACCGACCTGTCAAGCGAGCAGACCATTATCATCCCACTTTTGGCTTATTGGGCGTGATCCTCCCCATCATCTTTCGCATGCCCTGTCTGGCTCGTGCGCCGCGATTGGACAGACGCGCACGAGGTCGTACGAGTTTGCGGTCGGGATCTGATGTTGGGGGGAGAGGGGGCGGGAGAGGAGGATGGAGTGTGGCAATGGCCCCGATGCTCGATGCTCGATGGTCGATTACCTCGCCGACGTCGGGGGCCGCAAGTGACATTACAAGTATATTTCTGAGGAAGGTATTGTCAAACGGGCCCGGTCATGTGCTTGTTGTCGGACCTCGCCTACGGCCCTGGGCCGAGTATATTCATATATATATATACGAGTACGAGTATCTTGTAGTCTATAAAACGATAGGGAGGATGGGATACCGCACTGGAACGGTGTTTGGCCCTAACAGCTTCGGATGCTGATGTGCACGCTCGCAGGCCAGCATAGGAGTCTCGTCTTGTAAGGTTCTGAAAGGAGTGGCTTCAAGTACACCATCAATACCGCCTATTCGCGTTCCACAAGCAGTCCGCGCACTTTGGTCGTAACCTTTGCCGTCCCCTTCTACTCGAGTAGGTGCTCGATAGTGTTGCACAAAAGCTAGTCTACCCGATATCAATCACGCGGCATCTCAGCCTACTAGAGCAGCATAATACTTGTGAGACTCGGAGGGGGCGGTTACTGTCTTCTGAAGGAAAGAAGGAACTCAGTTTCATTTCATATTACCGCCGAGAAACTATCGCCTCTACAAGAAAAAAAAAACACCAGTTTATTGCCTTAGAATGTAGGGGAAAGGCCCCCCGTCGATATGCAAAACAAAGCAGAGGGATGCGCATGACCTCCAGGGACCACCAAAGATACAACAGAAAAGTTACCTTATGAATGGGTGGGCATGGCTGTGGAAGCCTTGGTCGAGATTGCGTCGGAGCTTCTCCACAATCTAGCATACATGTCAGTTAGTGTCGCCCTTCGAAGGGCTAAGGGTATCGGGTGCACGCACGCGGTAACAGTCTTCAACTGGGTGTAAAAGTTGAGTCCTGACTTCCCATAAAAGTAATTTCCACCCTGTCCCGCAACGGACCCCTTGTTTCCGGTGAAAGAGAACATGGGCAACGGAACGGGAATAGGGGTGTTGATTCCAACTTGACCGGCCTCAATGTCGCGCTGGAACCTGGCTGCGGTAGCCCCGCTGTTGGTGAAGATAGCGACCCCGTTACCGTATTTGTTGGCATTGATAAGGTCAATGGCATCCTCGAGTGTGTCAACGTTCATGCACACAAGAACCGGGCCGAATATTTCCTCAGTATAGCACTTCATGTGGGGCTTGACGTTGGAAATGATTGTTGGCGCAATCTGGAACGAGTTAGCGATGCGTCAGCACGGTCAAGTTTAATCACATACAAAGTTTCCGTTGGGATATTTCTCGGGCTTGTATCCTCTGCCATCCAATAGCAATGTGGCGCCATCGTCAACAGCGCTCTGGATAAGGCTCTCGATTCTCTCCTTAGAGTTCTTTGAAATGACCGGTCCAAGATCGGCACCCTCCTCAAAACCTGCGTTGACTTTAAGCTTCTTCGCCTGTTCCACTACATCCGACAGCCACTCCTGCGCCTCTCCAACAAGCACTAAGGCGGAAAGTGCCATGCAGCGTTGTCCGGCAGCTCCGAACGCGGCGCCCACCAGAGCATTAACGGTAGCGTTTCTGTTCGCATCGGGCATGATGCTGAGAACACATTTAGCATTCAATTTGCCACGGCTGATCCGGGAGCATACCATGCATGGTTCTTTGCTCCAAGGTTTGCCTGCACACGCTTTCCTTGTTCAGATCCACGAGTGTAGATGTACTTTCCTGCTTTGTCACTACCGACGAAGCTGATAGCCTTGATTCTGGGCTCATCAATGATAAAATTAACGGTCTTGGCGGCGCCGTGAACGATGTTCAGAACACCCTCTGGTAGGCCAGCTTCCTTGGCAAGCTCTGCGAGAACCATAGCAGCACCGGGACTGTACTCTGTTAGTTGTGATTTCAAATTGGAGTAAACGACAAGACAGCTTACTCTCTCTCGGAAGGTTTGAGGATCAAGCAGTTGCCAGTGGCCGTGGCAAGAGGTATACACCACAGAGGAATCCTAAACAGCAGTTAGCCTCAATCGTGACAATCCCGAATAAAACTCTTACATTGCTGGGAAGTCTGCCTTCCGGGTTAGCACGGGGTGCTCATGCAGACGCCAGGGGTAGACTTACTAAAAGGACAAATTGCCGAAACAATCCCCAAAGGCTCTCTATAGCTTCTGGTCTCCATATCCTTGGCGACCTCAAGCACCTCACCAGTCAATTGAGTGGTGATACCGCAAGCGGTCTCCACCGTATGTGGTCAGCGGAGCTACAAGTCAACACGATCGGAGCAAAAACACACACCTCAGCGACCTGCAACCCCCGCAGCACATCCCCCTTAGCATCCGCAAAAGTCTTCCCCTGCTCAAGCGTGATACTAGCCGCAAGCCTATCCCAGTTCTCGCGAATCAAGGCGACAAATCTGAACATCACCTGCTGCCTGGCGAGTAAACTAGTAGCCTTCCACCCCGGAAACGCCTTGGCAGCAGAGTCCACCGCAGCCTTCAATTCCTCATCGGTGGATTGCGGCACCCTGGTGACAAGGTTGTTGGTCGCGGGGTCGTGCAGGTCTATCCATTCCGTAGTCTTCGAGTCGAGGAATTGGTTGTCAACAAAATACTTTGTGTCGACGGGAGAGGCGATTTTGTCGTGGTTCGTTATGTAGGACACTGCGCTGGAGTATCTGGCTGAGCCATGGAGAGCGTACTTCTTGGTTGCCATCAGGTATTCTAGGCTCTGGGGTGGGCGGATTGCGGTGTTGGAGATGCGGGGTCTAGCTGTGAGGAGTGTGCGGGTGAATATTCGTGATGCCATAGCTGATGTATTTGGGGAGGTGGGGAGGCAGAGAGGCGAGGCAGGGGGGAAGGGAGTAGGGACACAGGAGCAGTTTAGTGCTGACGGGTGAATGAATTCAAAGCCCACAGGGATGACAATTAGGTGCTCGAGAAGTGTATTGAGAAGAAGGGGAAGCGGGGTAAAGGTGGAATTGAGGGATGGATAGAAGGAAGGAAGGAAATTGTCTTTTCTCTCTTACAGTATTCGGGGTCCTACTGGGAGCTAGTAGGATGATAAAGGTGAGATGAGTGAACTAACTTGGAGGGTTGTAAGTTGGGGGGAGGGGTGGATGAAAGCCGGAAAGCTGGCGTTGCCGTTGTAGTCGAGTACCGTACAGTACTTGTAGCGTCGTATGGTACAGTACAGTACTCGTACAGTGCAGTACAGTACAGTGCCTGTGGTCTATGATACTAGTAGTGTAAACCAAGGGGGAGCTTCCCCACCCCTTCCTCCGCCTCCGAGCGGACCTGTCCGGGTAATGCCTATCATACAACTCGCCCCACGCGAAAACAAGGAGAGCTCTCTGTCTGCCCGGCCGTGGGGTTTGGTACGGAGCTTAGCACTGGGGCAAAAGTTGTCCACGGCGTCGAGAGTATGCAGCGGCTACCGCCGGTTCTAACTCGGCTCTTGTGGGCTGGCTGAGTGCTTTGGGATGCCGAATTTTCTGGATTGGCATCTTGTACCGTACAGTACCTGCTGATTTGGTCGCTATCACCTCTTGGCCTTCCTGCCCGCTTGGTATCGACTCACCAGTAGCTCACGACAACCAAGTTCCGGTGAACTCCAGGCCGTTCAACCACGGGAGCCTCGTGACTGACCTGGAATCCAGGATATCCGTTCGCTCCGAAGCCTCTGACATGGCTTTCGCACGATAAGGAAATCTAACTCAAGCCAAATGAACTATGTTTTGTTGATATCCTACAACTGTTTAACGCCCTATGCGGGATTGCCACCTCTGGCGACGCGAGCTGGCTTACCGAGTGACAGCGCGTGCTCTAGCCACCAAGAAGGCCGGGTCGGAGTACCGTACGTAGAACTCCCAAAACCCAGTGGGCACGTTGGATCCCGCTAACAGGTAGACTACTGTGCCGTATTCACGGTGGGGTGGCAGCAAACAACAACTAAACCCATTGCTAGGCAAAAAGCTTTAAAAATACGGTATCAAAATAATGTTCTGCGCATTGACTTTTCAGTCGTTGGGATTGATGTGACGCTAATTTTTTCCCTCCATATTCAAAGCAACACCTGGGCACTACTCGAGTACAGTACAGTGCGGCACCGGCCGAGCAGAAACCCTCATACATTTCCAGATTATAATGCCAATCACATGCAGCTCGCTCCAATCAATTAGGTAATCAAGGGGAAGGTAAAGGGGAGAAGGATAGGGAAATAAAAATAAACAAAAAGATGGCTACGCAAGGTATTATTATGCAATTAGAACCGATCAACAGCTACCGGTATTCATATGTGCTTATTTCCGGTGCACCAGCTCGCCCACTCTCTTCTCCAGAAGCGCGCGCCCATGGGGGTCATTCCAAACTTTGTGCGGCGAATGGTCCACAACATCCCAGGCTACCAAGTTGTCTGTCAGCTCGGTCAACTCTCTCTGACCATCATCCCATCTTTTGTCCGCCTTTACAGCTTTCCCAGAGCTCGCGACCACAAGGGGGATATCTCTCGGTAGGATGGCGCGTGCAGCAACGGCTTCGTTCCTCGTTAGGGTTGTTGCTACAAGGTTTTCCTGAAGTTTTGCTTTGATCTGTTTGGGATTTTGATGGGCAGACCGGCCGACCACACGATCCTTGCGTGAACGTCCTCTGAAAATCGCTCCCATCAAACGATCAATTCCGAGGGGGCTCAGGATTCCACGTAGCCACAGAACGAAGCCTCGGCCAGCAGATGCTATACGCTCAAGCTGAGACTCGGGAAGGGTGTCAATTAGGAGCAAGCCCTTTATCTCTGTGGCGTGGCGGGAGGCAAAGATACGGGAATAGATACTACTCAGCTGTTAGTTAGAAATCATTCCGATAGCGAAAGAGAAGAGGCAATTACCCTCCAACACCATGGGAAACCAGGATCCAGGGTCCAGTTTCATCGGCCCTCGAGAGCGCCTCCGAAAAAGCATCCACAGCCATGCCCGCCGATAGAGGACTGGGAGCGTTTTCGCTGAAACCCATGCCAGGTCTATCCCAATAGCAATAACGGTGGATCGTCTTGTTTCCAAACGCATCCCTTGCCCAACCATCGAGTCCATATCCAACGGGATCCTCACCCCCTTCCAACAAGACGGTAGTTACTTTCTCTCCATGGCTATCTGTTGCATCCCCAAGACAATATATGTGAACCTCATACTTCTGGCTGTCCACG